TGATATTGAGCCGCCCTTCTCGTGTGAGGGATATTGTTGAACCCTATCCTGACGAAATGAAGAAGAGCGAAGGAAAAGAGAAGGGAGGTCGAGCACCTTTGATCATTGTGCTTGTGTGCAGTAGGAGTCAAACCTTGTGTGCAGAGTAAGGGGAGGAAGATCAAGCACTACTTTGTTGGGTCATGTCGAGACCGAAGGATAGGAAGAAGAAGGGAAGTATCTATGTGTGTTAGGACTGTCAACAGAATCATATAAGGTGTCTAATACTCTTTTGATCAAGTTAACTAATAAGAATTATATATCTATAATAAGAATTATATATATATATATATATATATATATACATAGGTTATTATTTAAATGTTAGATTTAAGTGCATTCAATATCAGGATTGAAGATATTAAAGTCCTGAATTTGTAGAAGGTGACACGAACTTCTTGTACGGGGAAAGAGGAAGAATTGTGGATGTAAAGAGTTGAAGCCTAGCGAAACCCTAATTTGCGAGCTAAGGTAAATTATTGTGTTAGAATTATTTATTGGAATTTTATCTACATTAAATTGATATATATTAAATATGTTAATATGAAATTATGTTAAAATAAGTTCAGGGAGGCTAGCAAGAAAACTTTGCATGCGAGTAAGGGTGAAGCTCAATTTGAAAGCCTGTAGGGTAAATGTGAAGGCTTACATTATTATTAGAATTAAAGTCATTCAATTAGGAAGTGTGAAAGAAAGCTATTCAAAATTGAGATTGATAAAAGATTGATGATTCAATGAAGTGAAATATTAAGCTGATAAAAAGATCTAAAGATTGAGATGAGTAATTATGCTTTTAAGTTACAGTAATGTTTATTATTTTCAAATATATTATTTTTTGCCTTTTTATTTGTCTTATATCAATGAACTTATATTTGATTCTTCATATTGTTAGTCATAAAATATGCATGTTAAATTAGTTGCTAAATAGTTTAGATTAGGAAGATATTAAATTATTAGATGACCCTTAAGTTCTAGTAGAGATATATATATTAGGTTATTGCATGACTTGATATATATATGTCACACTATTACTTGATATTTAGAAATTTTTAATAAATATGTATATAACAGTTAATTTTATGACTTACAGATTTAGTAAAATTATATTTATTCATTAATAGATAGATGTAAAGTGTCTCATACGAGAAAAATGTATGTTATAAAGAATGAAATAACATATATATGAATGCTTGTACGTGCATATTAAGAAGAGTTCACTTCTTTATGATCCAGGTAGAGAATGTCAGTGTACCTGCATGCGTAGTTGTTATCATGCCACCCCAAACAATTGTTACGTTTAGATTGTTAATCATTGTGTCGATGGGAGAAAATCGGCTAGGAGCGAGTAGGCGCCTTTTTTACCTTAGACAATCTAGTAAATTTGATCACGAATTGCTATACTAATAGGATAATATTAGTCAGATGTGTGTTAAGTTAAGTTTTGACGGTGCTTCTAAGATATATTTGAATGTTAATAGCATAAAATAAAGATAAGCTTAAGGATTAAATCCTAAAGTGTACAATTAAAGTAAATATATACATAATTTTTAGAATATTTTCATTGAATAAATGGTAGATACACCAACATTAAATAATTATAAGATCTGATATAGTAATATATAAAAGGCGGGGATGCATATCATATTCTTTTCCCTTGTGTGTTAGGTTAAGTTTTGACGATGCTTCTAAAACAGATTTAAATGTTAATAGTATAAAATAAAGATAAGCTTAAAGATTAATCTTGAACGGTACAAACAAAGTAAATGCATATAAAATTTTTAGAATATTTTCATTGAATAAATGTCATATACACATACATTAAATTATTATAAGATATCATATAGTAATATACATCTTGAAGGGTACAACCAAAGTAAATGCATATAAAATTTTTTGAATATTTTCATTGAATAAATGTCATATACACACACATTAAATTATTATAAGATATCATATAGTAATATATAAAAAGCCAGCATGCAAATTAATTTCTTTTCGTTGGGTTATTATAGCTTAAAAATGTAATTGCTCTTGAAAATATCTTTAGGTAATTTATTATTTTGTTTAACAATTTTTTTAGATTTTAAACTTTTAAATAAGATAAATAGAAGATGAATCAATCTATACAAGAGAGGTGTATAATGACCGGAAAGGTAAAACTCAACTTGCTAATTTAATTTATTTTTTAGTGGCTCTTATATGAATATGTTAATATTAAAATGTAAGTGATATAAATAGAATATAAGAGAATATTTAATTTTCCACCATCCAACAGTCCATTCTTATATTGGTTAATTCCAAACACCGGGTCGGGTCGGGTCGGATCAGATCATGGTATAACTATCACGTATATCTTAATATTCTCCCTCATCAATATTATTTAACAACTTGTTGAGATGCAAATGAAATGAAGTTGACAGGTTCATTGGACTAATGAAGTACAAAAGCAAGAAATAAGTCAAAACAGTGTCTGATTTTATGTTAAGATGGGTTGTATTTAGTTGAAGAGTAGTATCAGTTGCAACTACCATTGAATTGTAAGCTTGCAAGTAGAACCGATTGTATACTGACTTGTATGCAATTAAGGTTGTTAGAATTATTTAAAGAACTTGTAACTAATGATGGTTTTCAAATGAACAACTTAACACTTTTCAACAGTTTCGCAGCTTATAAGAGTGCTAGCTAACATGACAGCTACGAAAATATTGCCCTTTATTTTGCTTATAGTTCACCAGTTAAAGTTTCGGCTTTGGCTTTGGGAGCTTTAATTGATCTTATTTGGGATCGGGTCCCCTTCACTAAAACTATTTAGAATTTAAATTTTGGTTCCCCGTCACTAAACCCATCTAGGATTTAAATTTCTCTCCAATAGGTCTAATTAGAACAAATTTTAGCATAAAACAAAAATTAAACAAGCAATTTGGAGTGGAGAACTTCTAGCAGACTGTTATGTAGCTTTGGGGGATTTCCTTCTTAATGGAAGACAAATGAGCCACACATTGCAAAACTTTCTGAGCAGACGGGCGTCAACTAGATTCCATGGTAAAGTGATAGTAAGTCACGCGCGGATTAAAAATTTGAGCGGATTTCTCTACTCACTGAATCCTAGGGTAATTTAAACAAAAATAACAGAAATAAGTGATGAGGACAAGAGAATATGTTCAGTTTATCTGTGAATTTCTGGCAATTTCTCTCTTGGACATGATGAAAGGATGAAAAATTAACACGTAATGGGCAGGTAACCAAGAACCCATCCACCCAAGCCCGAAACAGTAAAACTCACTAAAGACAATAGGCATAAATATGTTCATGTCGGAGCACACTGACTTTTTCAGGCCTTCTCTCTCAAATCCCTCGAAAACATTATACGAAGTGAAGATTTCATCATTTGAAGCTACAGTTGAGAGTGAAAGTGGCAAGCACATGTTATCACAAACTTGGATGGAAAACTCAAGAAATTTTGGGATTTACAGCTTCTCAGATTATAAATGTACCACCTGTTGCCCCAGATCACAGCTCAGACCATGTCATTTAAAACTAATACCACTTAAAATTCGTTTGTTAAAGTCGGGAAAATAAAAAACACATCGCTAAAGAACCCCAAAAATGAATGAAAAAAAAAAACCAATCAAAGCTTAGATCAAAGCAGCGGGAAGAAAGCACAGAATCCATCCTTCGATGGCGAATGAAACATTGGTTTAACTAGCAATTAAAGGACGAAGCGGTGAAAAAAGCTACCGTATAGAGAAGAGGACTGCGTGTCTCTTAGCGAGACGAAAGATGTCGCAAGCGTCGCCATGGTGATTTTTTCCTTCTTGTTGCCCTTTTATCGTTTATGTGTGACTGTATGCTTACAAACTGCAAGCCACAAAACGGTTCGAACCGAGGATCCGGCGCAATAAAAAACCCAGCATTTTTTTTTTTATTTAAAAAAATCGTCTGTGTATGGGTATATATTTATAATTTATATGAAAAAAAATCACTAGATAAAAATGAGCAGCATAAATGTGTCTCCGCTGAGTGTTTTATATGAATTATGATCATACGGGCGTTTTTCATAATTCTCCTCATAAATGGTATTTTTTCTTTCCCTCTATAACTCGCATTTTTTACATTTCATTCATCAATTTCCCCTCACTTAAAAAATATGTTTTGGTTCCAATCAATTACCCCTTCCTAAATAAAAGCAATTACCTCTTCTCTTTCTGATATAAACCCCTCAACCCGTCCACGATTCCACGCACCTCCTCTTTTCTCTTTTTCTTCCAACGCATCCTCCACTTTTCTTCTTTTCTTCTCGCAGCTCTTTCTTCTTTCTTTTATTTCTTTCATCGCTTTTACGATTTAAATTAATTAAAGTATGAGACTTCTCACATTCTTCTCCTCCCCCACCAGACATATTATACTTTGTCTCTTAATGTTCTTCTGATTAATCACAATTTTTTTTTCTAAAATTATTTTTTTAATATAATTTCATTTCTACCTTTTTTATAATCATTTTGAATTAAGATTGGTCTTTTTCATTATATTAACTCATAGTGTACATGAAATTAGTATCTAAGCTTTCTTAAATTATTTACGATATATCCAAATTAAGCCCAAGAAATTTAATTATAAATTATTATTTTAAGAAAAAATTAAATAATTGTAATTCATTTATTTATATTTTATGTATTAAAGTTTGTTTAATAATAATATTTTAAAGAAATAATTTTGGTAGTATAAAGACAGTATTGATCTGTATGTAGTTTGGAAATCTGACGGCACAAGACTAACAGTCTAAAATTGGTTGAAATAATACATCGTCTATCTAGTGTAACAACACGTACAGATCTTATAAGATTTTTAATATTTTGGCATAAGTTACATTAAAAAAGTCTTAATAAAGTATAATTCTCAAATTTTTATCTCATTGACTCTCATATTTTCCTTACTAAAAATATGTTGTTTTACTTTCACAAGATATCCTCCCCTTTACTTTCTCTATGTATTGCAAAAATTCTCATAAAATATGTTCAAAATTCTGCAGAACAATATTTTTCGATCGTCATGTTCTTTTTTTATATGTTATTAGGATCTTGTCATGCACTTCTTGTTTAGCAAGATACGACAATAATTTAATTTTATTTAAAAGTTGTTTAATGCAAAGGCTTTTATTATGCTCTAATGAATTTAATAAATGATTTATTTAGGTAAATCTTATTTATAAATATGATAATATAAATTAGAATAATCTTGCATATATGTGTGAAATATAGTGCATTAGAAGTTATAGAGGAACTTTGTCGAAAGGACCTAAAATATTTTGGAAGAGCTTGGGATGCGAGAGGTGTTTATGATCCACTTCTCACGTAAAAGCTATTGTAGCTACAAATTCACTTTATTTTATTGCATATATCAAGAAAGTTGATAATTTCTATTTCAGATATGTTGTTACTACACACTTATATAAAAGCATGTATTATATTCTAATGAATTTAATCCATTACTTAGTAAGTATATCATTTTAATAAATATGATAATATAATTAGAATAATCTTACATATATGTTTATGAAATATAGTACATTCAAAGCTAATAAATTTGGTCAAAATGACATAAATTATCTTAGAACAGCTTGAGATGCGGCTTCTGGCTCCTAAGCGCCAGACTATAGGAGCTCCAGTGCCATGGCGTCAAGATCTAGCCCCTAGGCTCTAGTCAGTTATGCACATCTTCTAGAAGGGTGGCGCCTAGGCACCACAGTTGGGTGTCTAGGCGCCAAAAACAAGTTTTGATTTTGTGCATTAAATGGAACAAATTTTGAAGAGGTGCTCGAATGATTCTTAGTTATTTTGAGAGCTCTATTTAATAGAGCCATTGTCTGGTCGAAAAAGGGTTGGAAAAGTTAGGAAGAGCTTTGGTGCTTAGTATTGGCGTGAGTCTTTGGAGAGAGCCTTGTGTGTGGGTTTGTGAGTCTTTGTTTTTGTATTTTGGATTAAACTTGTAAGGAGAGTTGAACATTCATCAAGGAAACTTCAAAGAAATTGCTTGAGGAAAGAGTTTGAGATGAGGATTTTGTATTTTTGTTTAAGGTTGTTTAACTCCAAGTTTAATATAAATCATATTTTGTTTTGTTATCCCCATGAAGTTTGAGTTGTTTTCTTACTTTCTCCTTGTAATGATAATTAATCATGTGTAAGAATAGAATTGTTTAGAATTTCTCTTATTTCATACTTGTGATGATTCATTACTTCATGCTTAATTTACATATTCAATCTAGTCAATTGGTATGTCAAAACTTGTTGTGAATCAATAATGACACGGGAGGGCTATGCATTCCTGACTAGTAAGAATCACATTGCACTATTAGGTGAAGGAAAAGTAGCCCATAATGCAGTGCAAATGAATAGGGAGATAAGATTTGATGGGAGTAAATTAGTGTTTCTAGAGTGGCAGGCTAGATATTTACCAATTTGATCTAGAGTTTAGAACCTTATGATATGTTAGTCCTATAAAGAGGGCACAGTGGGTAATTTGGAAGTAAGAGTCTAGAACCTACCAAAGATAACCAGAGATTTTAGAACTTAACTTTAGGTTAGTCAAGAGGGAAAAGAATATGTATGCTCCTCTTTGGCACAAAACTACATTTTAAACTTTAACATTTGATTCGTACGCTGATTATAAACTTATTGCAAGGAGGAAAGTTCTTCACATAATTTAAAACTCTTCTACACTTAGCGTCTTAGAAACACTTAGCATTTTTATTTTTATTTTTAAAATGCACTTATTAGTAGCAATTACTTCTTTTTCTTGGATAATTATATGTTGTTTTAAGTAGGAATTTCATAAGTCATTATATAAAGTTATTGCTTCTCTATAGCATCGATATTGAGGTTTTTAAGGAAAACTCTTTATTACTTGAAATTATACATGTATTTGCATGTACTCCTAGTTTGTACATCAAATTCTAAAATTCTAAAACATATTATTTTGTGTACTAGCCGCTAAGATTTATTGGGTCAATTATTTGGTCATCTTTTATAAACTAAATAACTGTGTAATTGCGGGTCAGGTCAGAAAGCCACTACCATAAATTAAAGTATTTCTTTTATAAAATAAAAAAGTTACTTGAGTTTAGTAACGTTTAAGCTTAGTGGAATTAACACGTCTTAAAATGTACTATTTTATTTATACATTTTATGCTCATTTTTAAGGATATTGCACTTTAATAGAAGGTATTTTGTGAGTTTTTTTTTTATTTCAGGAACAAGAGATGAAGTTAAGAGCAAAATGAGCAAAAACAGAGCAAAACTGAGTCAAATGAATCAAAGGAGCAAAAAGTGAACTGGCGCCTAGGCGCCAAGATCAGGTGCCTAAGCGTCAGGTAGTTAATTTGGGCTTTTAGAAGGTTGGCACCTAAGCGCCATGGTTGGGCTCCTAGTTGCCAAAAATAGTTTGAACTTTTGTGCAATGAATTTGGATGAATTTTAAAGGGGTGCTTGAAGTGACTCTTGGTAATTTTAAGAGCTTTATTTAAAGGAACTATTTGTTGGTCGAAAGAGTGCTTTGAAAGAGGAGTTTGGAGGAGGCTTTGGTCGAAGGCTTTTGTGAGAGGGTGTGTGTGTGTTTGGCATGAGTGTGTGTGTGGGAGTGTGTTGGTGATAGTCTTTTGAGTGTGTGTTTTAGTGTGTCTATTGGAGTGTGAAGTCATCAATGGATCTTTAAAGGATGAACTTAGGGAGAAGTCTCGGATAAGTATTTTTGTTTGAGTTTTGTTTTTCTTTGTAAACTTAGAGTTTAATATAAATCATGTTTTGTTGTGTTATTCCCATGAAGTTTGAGTAATTTCATTTATCTTTTTTTCGTTGTAATAAGAATTAATCATTTGTACGATTAGAATTATTTAAGATTTCTCTTATTCCATACTTATTATGATTCATTACTTTGTACTTAATTTACATCTTCAATTTGGCCAATTAGAATGTTAAAATTTTTTTGTGAATCCATAATGACTTGGGAGGGCTATATGTTCCTCAAATTATAAGAATCACATTAATCTGGTGGGTGATAAGGTAGCCCATTGGTTAGTATAAATAGATTGGGAGATAAGTTTTGGTGGGCATAAAGTGGTGGTTCTAGGGTGGCAGGCTAGAACCTTAACCAATCTGATCAAGAGTTTTATAGTTAAAGCTACAATATATGATAATAATGGTCTTAGTGGGTAATATAGAAGTGATAATCTAGAACCTACCCAACATAACTGATGCAGACCTATTATGTGCAACTTTTCTATAGATTCAAACTCTTATGCTTAATTTGCCAATAATTTTACTTTGGTAATCCAAATATGTGTTTCCAATTTTTTATATTCACTAAGTTGTAAATGCAGGTATACGTATCGCTCAACTAATATAGGGCTTTAATGGAGTTCTAAGTATCGATCCCACAGGGAGAAGTTTAAACACTTACTTAATTCAAAAGGGCCTAAATAGACATTATAAGAACTACATCAGCTAAATTTAAATGTGAAATGCAAGTCTAACGAAACTAAATCTAATATGCTATATTTGCAAACTTAAAAGTTAAATCTACTATAAGCAGGTAAAGTAATTTTAACGGTAAACAGGTAAAGTAATTTTAACGAAGGTTTCAAATTTAAAAAAAGTATCTTTCCCATTTACAATAAAGTGGTAGCTAATGAAGAATCAAATCTATTATTAATTGCATGTGACAAATATGAGCAATAATACCTTTAATTCTCTGGTCAAGCAAAAAAGGACATTGGCTAATTCAGATGTTTTGAATCCACATCTGTGGTTAGGTTAAGAGGATACTGGTTCTCACTCTAGAGCTCTCACTTCTCCCCCACCTAAGGGCTAACAATCTCACAATATGGTT